CCTTTTGTTAAAGGACGGTTTGGCGTGGAGAGACAGTTCTACGAACATTAGAACGCGCATTCTAATGTGTTATTATGGTTTTTTCCTCTCTTCTTCTTTCGTTATTGTTTCGTATTTTAGATTTTTTCAAAATTCTTCTTTCGCTCTGCATGTATTTTTGTATATATACTGCTTCTTTTCCTTTTGTCATTCACTCTTAAAAATGATCTAAGTTGTGATCGAAAGCTCGAGTGTTTAAATAAATTCAGAAGAATTTTATTATGATTTTCATAGCAGTATTATACTTTATATTTAAAACTTTATTTCCAACTGCTCATTCAAATACATTGTAACAATATGCATTTGTATCTCTTTTGAGACGTAGCTACCTCAAAAATATAAAATGACACGTTGTTTCGTAAGCATTTGTGATTTCTATATATGTAAAAATAATTTAAATTGATTTTAGCCTAAAATGATCTTCGTACAGAGTTGTTCATTTATCTCTTTTTTTTGACAGAAATATCGATAAAACAAACACATATTTCGATGTTTTTTGTAACTATCACAAGATGAAAGTTTAAAGATATTAAACATTTCGATGTTACACACTGATTTTTAATCAATATTAAGAGTATTTCAATATCAATATACAACATATAAATGTAAAAACTGAATCTGAACTGTGTGAAAATTTACACATACATATTTCCATCACCTTAAATGATTCACTACTAGTATAATACTGTTGTACAAGTAATAAAAATATTTTTGTTTGTCCTTGAAGCACAATTATTCTCAATATTCCTAAGCATATATATATAATTGTAGATGAGTGACGGCTCAATTTCATAAATAGTATCCAAGGTATACAAAAGTAGATTGAAAGGAGATAGGGAGAACAAAAATTTGGTCTCTAATCTAAATAAAATATCGAATATTATTTTGATCATCTTCAAAATATTAATTTTATTCTTATCACTTCTACTATTCAATATTTTATTTGTTTTTATGATTTTATTCATTTTCCTATGAATATCATAAATATAACAAGAACAAAAAACGATATACAAAATAACGACAAAAAATATTTTTTTTACACAGGTTTAGTTATGATCACGTTTTTCTCTTCGCTGAACAAATCTATTGATATAAAAAAAAAAGCATGTATAAACACATAGAAATAATAATTCTTTTTTTTATTTATTAACAAATTGAGAAGTAAAAAAATAGATGAAAGTATCAGATATGTTCAAATTTCTTTTGAACATTTGCTTCATGCATTAGACGAATGATATCTTTTCGTGTTAGAATACCTTGTAATCGACTAAAAAGAAATAGATATAATTTTAAAAAAGTAGTTTTAAGGTTTTGAACAAAACAAAATCGAAAAATCATGGGATCGACTATGATTAATCAACGTGGATAGATCTCAAATCTGAATAATCACACATTATTTCACTGAACTTTGTAATTGTGTAAGAATCAATCATCATCCTTAGAAAGTCAATATCTAACGAACGGTTCAATAGAAAAGTGGTAAATAATTTTTAAAATGTCATAACTGGTAGTTGGACTATCTATCATTGACAATTGAGAAAGTATAAATAATTTTAGAATCAATAATTTTCTAGATGAAAATTTATACAATATTTATGTTTATTTTATACGTACCCATTTTGAGTTACAAATATTTGTCTACATCCTAATTTTCTAAACATATCAATGACAGCTTCCATTGGTGTTTGATCAGTAACAATAATTGGTGCACGATCAACTAATTTATTCAATTGTAGAATTTTTGATGCTTGAAGAGCAATTGATGCTCGTCGAACACCAATTGGTAACGGTTGACCAGATTTATTTATTAATGATGATAACGATACAACAGATGTTTTAGAATTTAATGATTTTGGTTGTGTAAGAGTTTGTTGTACTTTACGTGATTTAAATACGGCCATGAGATCACGTCGTTGTACTTGTCCAACAAGACATGGAAATTCTTCACTAACAACAACGGGATAAATGGAGTGTGGATGTTGTCGAACAAGTTTATCAATAGTAGCAATTGTCATACCATCTTGAAGAATGTAAGCTAACGATGTTGCCATACCGGCTTTAGATGTCCGGATGGCTTCACCAGCTTTCAGTGTAAAACGAAAACTTTCACGATTTCCTAAAGAAAAAAGAAAATTTTATACTTGGATTATGTTACAAAATGAGAAAAATACATGAAATATATTATAATACTAATAATTAGAGAATAGTAGAAATGAAGGAGAAAAAAAAGAAGAAGATATCATCGGATCAGTTACGGTTGTGTTTATTTCAATATAACATTATTTAATTAGGTTTCATTATTTAATAATCAGCTATGGAAAAACAAATAAATAATGAAAAAAAGATGAATGTATACATACATACTATTAACAAACGTATACTACAATATCATATCTATCTTTATGCAAATATATCATCATTTATTAAAATTTTACCTTTATTAGAATAGATTTATTTTATACATAAATATAAAGAATATCACCCTTAATAATTCCATTAAGATTATTTACTAATGACAGTAATTCCGAAACAAATCTTTCAACAATAATTGGATCAGATATTTTTTGCAAAGATTGTGAAAGTTCCATTTTCATTTATTTTTTTTTAATATAATAATATATTGGGTAAGTAATATATATATATCAATAGTATTTATATACGATGATTTAATATTACTAAGAAAACCTAATCATCCGTAGATTTTTTTTCTATCGATCCTGTTTTTAATGTCTAACCTTACATAGACAAACATAAACGTGTGCAAGGATGTCTCAAAGCAAATAGAGATTGATTGAAGGTTGAGATTTGATTTAGTATCATCAACGATCTAGACCAATTAATTTCATAATGAGAAAAAAAAATCCTCTTGTCGATATAACTGATATCTTTAAACTCATTACAAATAGAGTAATATAAGTTTTAGTCTTTCAGAATACAAGCGGAAAAATACTCCATTATAATATTCTAAACTAAAACTATCGAAAAATATAAAATTCAATTTTGTACAAAGTAAGATATTCGAATATATGATCTTAGCTTTCACAAATAAATTATATTCAACAATAGAAATGTTTGTTTCTATAAAAATTGTATGTATGTTTTAAGTCAATTCTCGTTAGATGATTTAGAATAATATTTCGTTAATTCACTAGATCCAGATATATAAAATCAGTATCGAAAAAGAAAACAAGTGAGAGATGAGAGTGATCTAAAAACGGGCGTTTTTCTGATGACTATAATTTGCGAACAACGACTACAAATGTATTTAAAAGCCGATAAACAACTGTCCTATATCGACCTTCTCTAGCAAGATAATGATAAAAAATCTTACCTAAGTAAGGATAACCGGATAATTTGATATTTTCTTCATAAATTCCCTCTCCAAACGCATCACCGACCCACTTTGCTGTTAGTGCTGTTATCATTAATGGTACAATGTACGAGAGACCACCTGTTACTTCAGACATAATTACAACGAGAGAGACAGTCATTCGAGATACACCACCGAGGAATGCACATGCTCCAATCACAGCATAAAGACCAGGCGTTACACAATGTTCGTTCGATACGCCACATTCATGTCTTAAGATAGACAAATGTTGATTTTTAAATGCAATTTGTTCTGTAACAACACCAATTAGACTAAAAATAAAAAACAATAGCAGTTAGAAAGAAAATGATTTGCTTTTAAACTCAAACTCTGACTTACCGTCCTGCAAGTGCTCCAATGGATATACTTGGTATAATGAGACCGCTCGGTAATTTTGTTCCGATAGTAAATATGAGTAATACGGCTTGTACTAATAAAGCCCAAAACATATGCCACATAGCTCGATGAAGACTGGAACCAGCTAAGGCTCCATATAGTCTTGCTGAAGCCGTTTCAATTGGTTTTTCGCGATTATAATCACTGAAAATACAGTAACAAAAGATAACCATTCGAAGAAATGGACGATCTGTTTAACAGCTGAAAAAGGATTTGCAACCGACACATTACAGATTTCTACGAGCTACATATGTGATTATCGGACTCCTCATATTTGTGAACGTTCTCCAAAGCCTAAAAGTGGTTAAGAAATGATATAGATGATTCAGAGTTTTCTTCATATATCATCAATTCAAAATGTCTATTGCCTGTACAATGAGAAAATCAAATTATTCTCTGCAGAGAAAGGTTTAGAACACTTTCTACCGAATTCACTCATTCTCACGAGAAAAGCCATTCGAAGATGTGTTGTATGAGAAAAATGATGTTCTCACAAGTAAAAACACGTTCTTTCTGACGAGCTTAGATAGTCAGTCAAATACTTTGTTTACTGAAGATTTTAATTAATCTTGAAATTTAAAACGTAGAGATTATAAAAGATTAAACTTTTTCAATTGAGAAAAGCACACACCAATTTTCAGTACGCCAATATAGCGAGTCTAAAATGATACATATATTCATACGACTGACTTCTATTATTGTTGGATTGTGTTGATGTTTCAGAGGAGTTTTCAAATATCTGTCTTGAAAACTTGAACGTTTGAAGTTTTCTGTAGTTAATCGTCCTACCTTCTAAAAACTATTTCAATGCTTTCATGAAAGAAAAAAATCTCAGCCTCAAAATTCCGTAATGCTGTAGTACCTCCGTTGAACCTGTATACCAGTTTTTCTTGCAATCACATTTTTTTCACATAAAACACTACGGAGAAAACGTTTAGTCTTTTATAATCTCTACGTTTTAAATTTTTAAAGAAAGAACGCCGTTCTATCTGACGAGCTTAGACAGTTAGATATTTTGTTTACTGAAAATTTGAAGTTATCTTGAAATTTAAAACGTAGAGATTATAAAAGACTAAACGTTTTCTCCGTAGTGTTTTATGTGAAAAAAATGTGATTGCAAGAAAAACTGG